TAGGGACATTAACACACATTACCATCTAGTTCCATTTCAAGCTACGAGGCTTGTGTTATAGATACCAGATAGTTGATACACTACACATATATAACTTTTAAATACATACATATTATAAATATAAACACCCATGACTGGAGTACACACATTCGTGCTCATCACACAAATGAATGCCCCCAGCGGGACTCGAACCCGCGACCGCTGGCACAGCAAGTAGGGTCACTACAAACTGAGCCAAACGAGTCATCGTCGTTGATTAAAATGAGCTTGACAATTAATGATTTAACTTTAAATAGTTAATATTAAACTTGCTTACTTAGAATATTTATTAAGTCGTTTCCTTCAGAATCGTAATAGATAATATATTTAACAGAAAGCAATATAAACCTAAAAACAACTATTTTGATAGCGCCTAAGTTTATTTCAGTATTCGTTAACGGCATTCGTTTGTTATCGTTGTAGCGAGACTGTTTGCTGGAGAACATACTCTAACTGATTGCATCGTTCATTGAAGTCATTTGACTGTACGTACTCCGATTTATTTCCAAATAAGCCGTTACTCATATTACAGGGGGAGATTTAAACGTCGCTTTTTTAAGATGAGTAATTTACGGCCGCCGTTCTGCCTATGAGTCATTGTTTGCGAATTTAATACGTTAAGTGCGCCCATTTTTATAGGACCATTTTAAATGGCAGCGGCATTGATCACACGGATTGGGTGGCTAATATTCACAGTGTGTTCATATATCACATGAGTTTATTCGAAAACTTTAAATACGACATATTGTACGTATAACTCTCGAGTAAGTTTACAAATAGATGTATTTATAACATTGCCGCAAACTCGGCTCGATTAAGTAGGAAATATGACGAGGTTGGATGCTCCTCGGTTGATTAATAATTACAATAATTGCAAAACTTTTGCGCTATAGACTTTACTGTAAAGTTTCTCGTCATTTGTTTGAATTCACTTAGGAATTATCCGTATTTCAGTTTAGTATTTAATGTTAGTCAAGAGAGAAAATAATGTGTTTTACCAGTTCAAGTGTACTAGTTATTTATTTCATAGATCCACGATATTTTGTTCTTACTACACAATATAATACCTAAAAGTAGAATTTTAAAGTTTACTTCAAAAGTGTAAGAATATAACAGAACACTTTAAAAATGTTTGTGTGAAAACACGTAAAAGTTCTCTATTTCATGCAGACACAGCATCGTTGAGACGAATGGGTCCATCCGCTGTAAAATATTCTCAGAAAATGTGAGAAAAACGAAACAAGTATCACGTAAAAAGCAAGACCACTCTCGTTTACGGTGGACGCTGCCGTTACGGACCTCCTGCAAGTGTTGTATACAACTTTCAGATACAGACAGAATCCTATAAAACTCCTACATACGTATTCTTAGGAAACAAAGTAACGTATGAAATAAGAGTTCCTCGGAAGTTTGATGCCAATCACAAAAATATTGCACACTAAGAAAAAATCGTCGAATAACATCGAAAGTTCTGCCAAAAGTTGCCGTATGTTTTGGTGAAATGTAACTCGGATTTTGTTAACCATTAGATTTTCGAAACTAACTAGGAAGTTAATGCGTTGAAAGTGCCAGAGCTTCTTAGCTACAAAATGTACATATATAATTAGAAAAGTTTTTACGAGCGGGCTCTACGAAGTCGTCGCTGTCACCGCCTGACACGGCTCCCTCATATCCGGATGCGGATTATAATTTCACCGAAGAAATTATTTACAAATTATTATTAATGGTTCCATAATTCACAGTTTTAATGTTATTTATGTCTTATTGGCTTGAAACGGCGATATATTTACTTAGAAAATACCAAGTATTGTTATTGTGGTCTTTATATTTTACTCTACATACATAATATGTACATATAATGAATGACAGCACTTAACGCCCTTTTTATTTACATTAAAATACAGATAATAATTTTAAACCTCTGCTTGGCCCTTGACCAACGTGTTGATAATTTGTACACCATCCAAAAGTATACTAGCAAATATCATATTAATGTAATTTATAAGAATATTTTTGGTCAAGGTAAATTATACTTAAGGTATTGTATGACACTGAGAATAAGTTGTCATTAATCCACATCTCTGCTAGCCGTGCCAAAATTGCAGTAATATATCAAAAATATCGCATTTGAATGCATATAATATTAACTTTACTTAAGGTGATAAATTATCTTGAATTGTATCTTATTTCTTCTAAAATAAATTTAATTTAAGTAATATTATTTCTAGCGATAATGCATTTTATTATTTTAATGATGTTCTATTGAGTCTACATTCGCTATTTTATTTTTAAAGGTGAATCGCTCGTCTGGGTCATTTGGGTGTATATCAATGATTTTTTGTTTCACAGATAATAAATATGTTGGGACATTAACACACAGCACCATCTAGTTTCATGGTCAGCTACGAGTCTTGTGTTCTGGATACCAGAAAGTTGATACACTACTCATATATAACTTTATATAGATACATATTATAAATACTGAACCAAACGTATCATCATATCAATCATGTCAATATATGGCCAAAATTTATCTAAATCGAATGTAAAAATTAAGGAAATATAAAGTAAGATTTCCAATTTCTATAACAGTGAATTTGAACGAAATACAAATACACAGACAATTAAAGACACAAGGAATAACTAGTTTACACTATATACTTTTATAAGCAAAGATTACAGTGGCTAACTTGCTCATTTGTGAAAAGAATCCAGGCAAACTAGACTTGCAGTTTCGAAGAACTTGTTAAGCTCGTGTTATAAAAATAATTGTCGTTTTTGGCACGACATAGCGTCAACGCCGGTTCTTTGCCCTAAATGAGTGCAATTACAAAAGTTTTTATTACTAACTGAGCGCCAAAAACGTCTTCTACAACTCGTATTCGACTGTTTCGGTACAGTAAAGACTTTGACGACTTTTATGAGTTATGCATTTGGTTTTCAACCAATATTCTGAAGCGAAAACAACGAGAATCTCAAGGAATTTGTTAAAATAGAAATTGAATTCCCATTTATCTATTGACGTTAGTTGAACGAGGTCAGAGTGCAGTTCCTGCACAATGAGCCGATTAGTTCCTTAACGAAGCCCGGGAGTGATTCGGGCCGAGAACGGGAGAGGAGTGAAACGAGAAATAAAAGAAAAATCACATAAAGTTAGGAAATCTCTCCCACGCACTGTTGAAAGCAATGGAATAAACGTTTTGCGTTTACAGAAGTTTTTCTAGTATAAGAGTACATTAGTTCAAAGTAGTCATTTTTATTATATAATAATATATAGCACTTAACTCATATGTTCTTTTATAGCTACTAGATTCTTATTAGTAATAGAGATATTATAATCGATACTTCGTTAATATTACAAAAACAATAAGATTTTTTTTTTTTTTATTTGCTTGAACATACTAATCTTGGAACTAGCAGTGCGATTTAAAATATTATTTTTCCATTTAATAGAGGAAGATTACAGTTTACTAAGATCACGCTACAATCTTTAGGAGCGATGAAAATAAACATAAATAAACAATGCAAGCGAAGCCACGCGGTAAAGCTAGTATGTAAAATTAAAAATCAGCTAAAGATTTTGTATTTAGTTAAAAACTTCTTTTTTGTATTAACTTTTTTAACCAGTGAGTAAGCATTATTACAGATGTTCTTTGATAATAAAAAAAAATGTTTAATAAAAAATCATAAAAACGTTTTTGCGTGTAATTCATATACAGAAGAGTATTAAACCAATAGCAAAAAAGTCAATAAAGTCTCTCATATGTAATCTCTTCCAAGTAAGCCAGAGCTAAAATGAAAGAGCATCACTTTAATCAAAGTGCATTCCTTGTATCAGCGGTTGCGTTATCTATCTATCTATATCGCAGTAAGTAAGTTGCGAGGGGTTACGGCTGCAGTCCATTTACTTAGTATTATAATGCACTTGTGTTTGCTGCCTGTGGCTTGCACACGCAGCGTCGCGATATGCCACGTACCGTGATGTAAGCCCGCTAACTCACATGTTCTCCTTCTTGCACAGCATAAATTTCAACTTAAACTCAACTTTAGTTTAGAATGTGTGGAATGTTCAAAATGAAGTTTTTAAAACTTTACTGTTCTCGTCCGCTAACTCCCTAAATTATTACGTTTCGTTACTGCCACCCGAACAAAGACTTAGACTAAGACAATAAACTAATGATATTTATGAAGTACTCTTAAATACTTATGTTATTTATGATATCTTCCATATTAATTAAATGAAAAACATGTTTAAAAATAACATAAAATAAACAAATTAAATATTGAAAAAAAAATGTTTTATAACACGAAACCTTATAACAGGGAAATCAAACACTAACCAAAACACTAATGATTTTGACATAATACTTTTATTAAAATAAATATCAATGCCCATTTATAGGCTTTATTATATATTAAATTGATAAATCCAATAAAATTTTGGCGAGTTAGTATAATACTTAATGTGTTAATAAAAAAAATAACAAAATTAGAGTAAAGTAAGGCACTCTCTTAATAATTGGAGGCCTTTAGTCTAACAACATTGACCCAATTTCGTGAGGTCGATTATTATATAATGACCTAATCCTACCTGATCTTAATCGCAAACCTCTTAGCTTGCAAATGATTACATTCTGATAAAGCACTCAGGTTTCACTTCATAGCTGCTTCTAATAAATTGGCATGATATTTTTGTTTAATGTTTAGAATTCGGTAGAATATATATATATATATATATATATATATATATATATATATATATATATATATAACCTAATTTTACCTCTCAATCTATTACTTCTATTAATTATTAAACCACAGTCTACTTTAACAGTACGAGTATAACTAAATTGTACCCTCTTTACATCGTTATGCAATATCTCATTATGCTTCCGCTCTTCACTTTCTGGCTAAACTAAACTTTAACAAACGACAAAGACACGTTTTGTTCTATTGGAAATATGAATCTTACTGGAATGGTTACTAACCCGAAGATTCATCGTCGTCTTCATCTCAGCCCGAACACATCCACTGACGGACATAGGCCTCCCCCAAATGATTTCCACGACAACCAGTCTTGTGCATCCATTGGACTGGACTGGAATTGTAAGCTTTTTAAAAAGTAAATGCTTACTTATAATCTTCTGTTCCTCACGATATACATATACTGCATGTCATTTGTACAATGTTATTACTATAATAAATGTGAAAGTTTGTCAGTATGGATGTTTGTTACTCTTACGCGTTAGAACGGCTGAACGGATCTGGATGAAATTTGGCACAAAGATAGAACTGGAATAACACACAGGCTACTTTTTTATACCGGAATAAATACACGGTTCCCGAGGGATAGATTTTTTTTTGTTTTTTTATATATTTTGTTCATCCTAGTTTGGATAAAGTGAATAAATAACATTTTCTGCACCAGAAATCATGCTAAAGTCAGCAATTGGTAAATTCTAATAAGTATATTGCTATAACTGTCACTACTTTCTGGGTACCCACCAGGGATGTAACGCTATAAATAAAGACGCTAAATAAAGTAAACAATAAATTACTTTTTGCAAGGTTTCGATTTGAAACCGAGCGCGATTTTTAATAAATTCCCGAGAGTCCGATTAAAAATGGAGATAGTAGAGAAGGGAGGGGGAGTGGGTGGTGGGTGGTACCGCGAAGGCAATATCGGGAGCAGTGGAGCATACCCGGCAAGACATTTGCATCCTTCTAAATGAAACCGTGTTATCGATACTGCACCGCGAATCGAAACATTTATACAGGCACAGGCTATTTTGATTTCGAGTTTCATGAGATTTCTTACTTGAAGCGAAATATAGTTGCGATATGGGCTGCTATTGCATTTCGCAGACGGCTGTTTTGTCATCGGAAATAATATCAAGTTCTCATCGTTCTACGGTATTGTGATTTTTGGATTATTTTCCTATAAAATTTGTATTCTTTAGGGTAATAAAAGTGGTCTAAATTGTTGTGCCATGCTTCTTGAAGTGGACAGTTAGTATATATACCTACTCTTATTGTAGATTTAGAATACAAACACAATTTTGAATTACTTATTTGTAATAAGTACCATTCATAGGTCTATATATTATTATACCTATATAACAAAGTCGGGTTTGTTACAACACTTATAACTCAAGAACGGCTCGACCGATTTTCATGGTTTTTGATTTGTCTGATTTATCTCTGCCTCGAATAGCAGAATAACTATTGAAACATAGAAAAAATAGGTGTATCTACGGAGGAACCTGACCGAAGCGGGGGTGAGTCGCTAGTTTATTAATATTTCAAAGGTTTGAATTTTTTTTATGAATAACATTTTTTCCAGTAAGTATTAGTAATTTAAGTACATAGTTTTATACAGATATTTTATAACTATTTCTACTGTACTTCGCCCAAACATCGAAATTAGACCACTATCATTTTTTTAAGATAACATTAAAGCTCGTCAATAACTATTAAAAAAAAGAATGTCGGTTGAGAAATAGAGAAGATAAAGCTGCTGAAATATGTTGTCTTAATATTATTATTCTTTTTTATTATTTTTTTATATGTAAATAGATTAGAAAACAATAAACGATACTCGTATATCACAACTAGGCTTGATTATAAAACTTTTTAACAAAAAAATAAAAACCGACTTCAAACAAAAGCACTAAAGTAAAAAATAATTGATTGGTAGTTTTCATTTACTATACATACCTAATCAAATATTTTCGAAATATTACAAGTAGGTTAAATTCATCATTAGCTATTTTTCCACCCTTAGGGGTGGTATTTTTTTGGAAATTTAAATGGGACCAATCTGGAAGTATTTCACTTTCAAACAAAACAAAAATTGTCCAAATCGGTTAATAAATGACGGAGTTCTGAGGTAACAAACATAAACAAAATATAGCCGAATTGAGAACCTCCTCCTTTTCAACCGACTCAAAAAGGAGGAGGTTCTCAATTCAACTGTATTTTTTTTTTGAGGAAGTCGGTTGAAAAGAGGGAGTATTAATTTTAATATAGTAAATACCTAATGGTGCAACTAAGAAAAGAATTTCTAATTCAATATATCAGATTTAAAGTTTATAAGGATTAAAATAAAACAAAGAGAATAATTAATCTACATTATATTATTTAATTATTTAAAGCGGAGAATGTGTAAATCGGGTGATTTCTGTATCGCAATATATTCGCATTTGTTATACCTCAATGATCACGTAAATTAAAAAAGTAAAAATTACTTTTGAATGATTTTGAATTTATTTAGATTTTTTAAAGTTCTTTTACTATTTAGTTTTGATCTAAATAAATATGTTTAAACAAAAAATATAAATACAGGATGAGGGAAATAAAAATTGAGTATATCAATTTCAAGAGAGTCTTATACTAATGGATTTATTTCAACGAGACATGAGGCCACCAGGAATTCGCCACACGTATACGATTCTTGATTTCGTTGAGGGAAGACGCGTTCGTAGCGACTTTCGGTGCCCGCTCTGCGCAATATGTATGATAAATAAATTGATATCCAATATCAAATGGTAGCGATACCGGTGAAATGTACAAAGCCTTTACTCGTATTACCTATACACTTAGAAACAACGCTAACTGAGCACTGAATCCGCTTGTTTTGTAATATAATACGGTTCCTAAAAATTTTCTTTTGTGAGAAAAAGAGATTGGCAATGACACGATACGCAATTTTCAGTCATTTTATTGGCGTGATAAAAATATTAAGCCAAAAGTATTACTATGTTAGATCTATATCATGAGCGAAGTGGTTAATTCGTTCATGATCTATACATATAATAAAATTGTAACTAAGCTGAATCTGTACAGTATATATTTTTTGGAAAATCTTATTGAAATAGACATTATTATCGATACAGAGACCGAATCTATAGTTTTTAGAATTTTTGTGTGTCTGTCTGTCTGTCTGTCTGTCTGTCTGTTACCGCATCACAGAAAAACCACTGGAGGGATTTTGATGAAATTTGGTATGGTGATAGCTGGTTATTCGGGTCAACATATAGGATACCATTTACCGCGGGAAAATATCTCATTTCTAAAAAAAATTAAAAAACTGCAACCTAAGAATTGGTTTTTGGTCATCTGAACGCGAATAGTATGTTATATAACAAGCAAACCGCCCTCACTTCGCTCAAGCTTTTTTCCAAGCACGCGAAAATCAATGCCACTATGTTAATACCCCCAGTTATCTTTCGAAACGAAATAAACTAAAATCACCAAATAACATAATTTGAAAAAGAATAATCAAGTATGGTCATAGAGTTGTAAATGGAAGAAGGGTGAAACAGACAGAGAGACGTTATGTATTGCAACGAGTGAAAGCTGATTATTTATTATTTATTATATTTATATTTATTAATATTGAACTTATCTTCTGCATAGGATTTTCAACTTCAGACTATATTTATTACACTCTTAGCGACTTACGTCCCTAGGTACGTTTTAAATTTATTTAAGCAGAACTCTATTTTTTTTTCTTAAACAAAAGTAAGCAAAAGTTACTGCTTATAATATCAGCTATCTTCCAGTGAAAGTCATGTCACAATCAGTTCAGCCGTTTCGGAGATTAGCCAGAACAAACAGACAGATAAAAATAAAAAAAAATATGTTTTTCCTTATAAGTACCGTATACAATTTCATATGCATTTATTAAAAAGCTCTTATTTTGACATTTCTTCATCAATTTTATTCATCTTCAATTTTATTTATCTGTGGTATATTATAAATGACCGTCGTGATGTAACATGTGTCTGAGTAACACTATCTGTTATTATTCTCAGAGTTACAATACTGTCTCGTTGCAATAATGTTTTAATACGAAATAACTTTTAGTAAAAGTTCTTTACTAAATAATTTACAAGTGATAAATTCAAATTTTATAAAACCTCCGACCATCTTGGACCGATTTTCATCAAACATAGCTAAGAACACTCCCGACTAATTCCCCTTTCAAACAAAGAAAACAAAATCAAAATCTGTTCATCCGTTTGGGAGCTACGACGACACAGACAGACACACACAGAGAGACACGTCAAACCCCGTCGTTTTTGCGTCGGGGGTTAAAAAGAAGAATAAAATTAAAAAAATATATAACTTTTAGTCTAAAACTAATACATGCTTATCATATTAATTATATATGATAGAAAAAAAATGGTTTGAGAATATGATTTTGGTCGCAAATAATAATCTCAGAGAGATATAATAGCTGAGTATTAACTGGCTTGTATCCAACCGTAACTCGTCGACGCATTACGCCCAAAGGGTTTTGTATGAACCTTTGTCTATTCATCGGTCTTGTGTTATTCTCTAACCGAACTTAGCTTCAGAAACTGCTAACTTTAATGCACTATTGCAGTAAATCTTCAATAAACGGAGAACTAACATTCAGTTGTACCATTTTAAGTAAATTAAGCTTGATTATGCATAAATAGTAATTATATCATAAACATGCATGAAATTGAAAAAATGTTTTACAAAAGATGATGCGCAATAATTTATTCTAAATCTAGTTAAAAGTTTATTGTTATAGCCAAAGAAGTAACTTGATACTTGATGTACAGATTAACAGATATAATACAAAAATATAATTAACATCATAAGAGAGGCTTAAAAGGAAAATATGAGGGAAGCTTTCATGAAATTGAAACAAAAAACACTGGAAAAAGCTGATTCCATTCTGACTTGGGGACAAATGAGAGGAAGGAAATAAGAAATATTAAACGTGACCGGAATATCAAGACGCGTTCTATACATGATACCGAATTGTGCCATCTCACGTTTGGTTTATGTAAACTACTGTATTTTTATGAAAATACGCATTATTATAACGCATAACGAGATGTCGTTACAAGAAAGCCACACAGCTTTGTTATTATAATAGTTAATATGGAGTTTTAACATTTGAATATTTCATATCTTTTATAGTTATATTATATATAGCAACTTAGTCTCGTTTCGCTAGGTACGAGGATTTTATTCACAATTTCATTGGTTTCAATATTATTGCGCGGGATCCTAATTATTTTTCTAAAATAATTAATTTGTTATAACACCAGCTATCTGATAGTAAAAGTCCCGTCAAAATTAGGCCAGCCGTTTCGAAGATTTGCCGAAACAAATAAACAGACAGACAAAAATTAAAAAAAAAGTTTTCTTCTTATAAGTACCATTCTATACATACATAAGCATACATAGTCTTTTCATATGCATTTAGTAAAAAGCTAATATTTTGACATTACAAACAGACAGTTCAATTTCTGTAGAAAAATATTTTTATAATCTCATACATATCATTTATACATAAAGATTGTAATATTTATACATAAAGTTATAATGGCATATAACAAATGCTGTATATTCAATATGTTTAGGAATTTTTTTGTATCAGTATTATTAGAGTAACCACGCGACAATGACTGGACGGACGGGCTTAGAAGGGATTTGCTGTGTTGTATACTTGCTATGTTATGTTGTATAGCTTACTGATTATATTTGACATATTTGATCTAACTTAATAGATTTAAATATATATCTATGTTGATTAGATTTAAATAATCAAGGTTTACTATATAGAGAAATACACCACAGAAGCTAATTAAAAGTAGAATATACATTACCTTTATAAAATGAAAAATTGTGAGTTCAATTCTCAAATGATATAATTATTACATGGCCCATAACATTTAGAACTATA